TCTTTCTTTCTTTCTTTCTTTCTTTCTTTCTTTCTTTCTTTCTTTCTCTTCCTTCCTTCCTTCCTTCCTTCCTTCCTTCCTTCCTTCCTTCCTTTCTTTCTTTCTTTCTTTCCTCCTCCTTCCCTCCCTCCCTTTCTTCCTTCCTTCCTTCCTTCCTTCCTTCCTTCCTTCCTCCCTCCCCCCTCCCTCCCTCCCTCCCTCCCTTCCTTCCTTCCTTCCTTCCTTCCTTCCTTCCTTCCTTCCCTTCTTTTTTTGAAAATAGGAAAGCATTGGGGGTTGAGGATAGGGGCAGAAATGCTCTTACACAGCTTCTGTAGAACATGGTAATTTTTAGAGGAAAGGCATATCTGTCCCCTGCTTCTGAACCATGTGATATGTTTAAAGTCAATACAAGGTGAAAACAATAGGCTGCCCTCTAAAACCTTCTCTATATTTTGTGTTGTTTCTTACAGATGGTCTGACTCATTAAAATAATAAAATATAAGTATAATGTAAATGTCAAGGATAAAACAAAGCCAAGCCACTCTTATTCTTGCCAAATCACATTCACCTTATCTCAACCTCTTCCTCTATCTTCTGATGTGAACCGTAAGCTGTGGCCGCGGGCAGGCTGTACGGTAGAAGCACCCTCTAGTCCTTCGACCTCTAAACCACCTTCTACCCAAAGCAGTATCAATGCTCTGGAAACACTTTGGCCCTCTGCAGTTTATTAATGGGCAACCCGGGCCTTCATGAGCAAACCTGGACCCTTGTCCGAGCCTACAGACATCAAGCCATTTCAGGAGTCTTAACTGTCATTTGTGGCAATTGTCATTCTCTTCCAAGAACCTTTTCTTCACCGGCTAGCTTTTGTTCCAAGCAGAATTACAGATGAAAAGTGTGTGGTGTGAACTGAAGAAATGCTCCTAGTTTTTCTTCCTTGCACAGCCTCAGTTTTCACAGAACTCCCCTTCTCTCTGTAGTGATCATTAAAATAAATGATAAATAAATAAAATGCTCAGAGCCTTCATTTTTGGCTCCTAAGTCCCATTTCCTGATGATCTAGCTTCTTAGAAACCTGCTTCCTTTCACAAGAAAGAAATCACAGCCTTGTACTGACAGAATCATCCCTCGCACTATCAGTAGGGGTGAGAATCTGGTCTCTCTGGCCACTTATTTAATCAAATTTGATAAACAATGTACCATTGCTTCATTTCTATTTCTCTTTTCCCCTTTAGGTCAAAGAGTTCTACTCGTATGAAAATGGGCCTGTGGGCATAGAGAACCTCAAGAGAGGCTTGGCCAGCTTATTCCAGATGCAGCTGAGCTCCGGAACCACCAACGAGGTATTTAGTGACAGTTCTAAGAGTGCAGTGAGCATCTTGGTGAAGGGGGAGGGGCTCATCTGCAGTCTTAGCTACGAGGGAACCCAGGCCCTATTTCCAGCGAAGGTCTGCAGAATGTGATGGAGGAAAACACACTATGTCCTTTATGACATACATGTATGCGTATGGATGCATACACACATACACACATGCATTTACTACGCACACATACACAACACACACATACCTCCTGAGCAATAATAAAATAAAATATAAAGGTGGCTGGGGGTATAGGTCAGCAGTAGGGAGTTCTCTGAGCATGTAGGAGGCCCAATTCAAGCCCCAGCACTACAAAATAAACAAGCAGGTCAGTAAATACATCAACCAGCCTCTTATTTGTTAACAGGCACATCAAAAATGTTTACAAGCATTTCTGCCTATTGAAATGCCACAGGAAATTATAACTGCTGTGTTGTTTTAGGAAAGATGGCTTGAACTGAATAGTCAGGGTTCATTTACATCTGAAATTATTGCTTCAACACAGAATTAATCAGTTACGTTAAAGGAACTTTGAATAAATTGTTAGATATGCAGAAAACTTTGGGGACCCAATGGTTGTTAGGTGTCTCTGTCCTGCTGCATTGTGAGAAGCATGTTAGTATATTCCCCAGAATATTCCTAGGGAAGCTGAACTCATAGATAATCAAGGAGCTGGGCAGCTGTGTTTGAATAATCTCTGGTATTTGGGATGCACTGTTGGTATGCAGAGTCACTGCTCAACCCAAGTCCCCTGACTCAGTGAGGAAAGAGAAATGACTTAGAGAACTCAGGGAATCTCAGTTATCACTCTTGAGTCAAGCTGGACACCAGTTTTCCTGGTCTTAACTCACCCTGCCCATGAGAAAATGTGATGGCAGGGTTAGGCCAACGGAATGTGGCTAGCTTGCTAAAATAGCAGCAGGCATGGGGCTGGCTCAAGGCCTAAGGGGAAGGCTCAGAGGAGCCAAACAGAGTCTATTTTGGGATGTTTTTGTCTAAACTCAAATTCTCATATGAATGAAAATGAATGTAGTTAATCCCGTAAGTTTCAAGAATTATGAATTTCAAGAATTTCCTCAGTTAAAAATCACACATACCATCTTTATACAGCCTTTAAAAACATTCCCCCCTTTACCAGATAATTACTCACATAGACAGAGATTTCAATTATGGTCAGGTAGTTTATCCAAACCCTGAGCTCAGAGGGAAGTAGACTGGCCCACGATTCTTGGGACAACTGAAGAGGAGTTTTAAGACTCAACCAAAGACAGTGAGAATCAGCATCCTGTAAGAGCTTTCAAATGGTTCTGTCTTTTTTTCTTTTTCTTTTTTTGTCATCCTGGGGTTGGGTGGGATTCTTAATGGCATAACCGGGAACCTAGGGTTCAAGCACCTTTCCATGAGAATGCAGATGGCCCACATGGCACCCCAAGCATTATGTTCTTGTTTTCTGTTCCAGGTAGACATCTCTGGGGATTGCAAAGTGACCTACAAGGCTCAGCACGACAAAGTGGTCAAAATTAAGGCCCTGGATACATGCAAAATCGAGAGATCTGGATTTACAACGGCAAATCAGGTATGGCAGGTGTTGTTTCTCTTGCCTACTTGATAAGGACATTTTGCAGCAATTTCAAATAATAGAAAAGGCAGCAAAGCAGAAACATTTGTTATTTTCAGTTTAGCTTGTATTTTCACACAGGCCAAAACAGCAGACCTTTAAATGTGTGGTGGCTGTGTGCTGGTGACGGGCGATGGTGTGAAAGAGGCACTCTCCCGCAAACTGAAAGACAGCCGCTATTTGATTCAATTACATGATTTCAGGATAATCTACTTTCTACTTACTGTTTACTTGCACAGGTGCTGGGCGTCAGTTCAAAAGCCACATCTGTCACCACCTATAAGATAGAGGACAGCTTTGTCACAGCTGTGTTTGCAGAAGAGACGAGGACTTTCTCCTTGAACTTCCTACAAACCATCGCAGGAAAAATGGTGTCGAAGTAAGACAATGCTACAAGTCTTGTTTTCCTTTAAATATTGTTAGAGTCAACCTTTTCTTTCATACATTAGTGTATTTGACTTGTAAATAGGTGTGTGTGTCGTACACAAAGCTTCTTCATTTAGACTGAAATCCTTGTGAACATCAGGTACAACTTGTTCATCTTTCACACATACTAGAGGACCACATAGGAGATACTAGTTTCAGTAGAATTGCCTGTATTTTGATGACAGGGAGACAAAATTCTAGGAGAGTATGTCAGAAAAGAAATCACTGCCAAGACCAACTTTTGGAACATGAGCTTTGCTGCTGACTTGGTTAACAGGCGACACGTGTTTGCCTTGAATGTGATCCTCAGGAAGCTGGTCTGAACTCAAGAGGGCTAGCATCCCATTTCTTGCTCGGCATCCAGGCAATTTTTCTTCCTTGTATTGTCTGGCATGATATTTTGAAAATCTAGACTCAAACTTCCAAACCTTTGAATAAAATAGCACCAGAAAATGCATAATGTTGGGGTTTAAGGTATCCCTCGAAGGGTGAAGGGCCGCAGCTTGAGGGTAAATGGACCGGAGTATGTTAGTTGGTTTTGTGCTTTCTGAAAGAATTGAAACTTTAGTATCTTTTTCTCTTTCGTACACACACACCAGTTCTTAAAGGGTGCTGTTTCGGTTTGGTGTTGCACAGGCAGAAACTGGAGCTGAAGACGACTGAAGCAGGCCCAAGGCTGATACCTGGGAAGCAAGTTGCTGGAGTAATTAAAGCGGTTGATTCGAAGTACACGGCCCTTCCTATTGTGGGACATGATTTCCAGAGCGCCTGTAAAGGTTGTCCCTCTGTAAGTGCGCGCAAGCACCAGACTAGCTAGGTAGATTGTAATCGCTCACTCTCTTTCTCTTTCTTTCTTTCTTTCTTTCTTTCTTTCTTTCTTTCTTTCTTTCTTTCTTTCTTTCTTTCTTTCTTTCTTTCTTTCTCTCCTTCCTTCCTTCCTTCCTTCCTTCCTTCCTTCCTTCCTTCCTTCCTTCCTTTCTTTCTTTCTTTCTTTCTTCGTTCATTCCTTCCTTTTTTCTTCTCTCTCTTTCTTTCCTCCTCCCTCCCTTTCTTCTTTTCTTCCTTTCTTTCTCTCCACAGCAAACGTATCTGCTAATTCTGTAAAGGAAACAACCATTCTAAAACAGACAGCATGGTGATTTACCACAGAGTTAACGGTCACCGGTAAAATTTAGCATTCTATACAATGAGTTCTAAAAATAAAAGTACTGAAGGAGGGAAGCGAAGTTGTTTGGCTTGTTTCAAAGCTGAAAGGTGCCACTGATTAGAATTATTCTTATTTTCAAAACCATTGGACAATAACTGTAGTTTGTGAGAATACTGCCCTTTTCTCAATACTACCCATTAGCATAGATAAAAGCTCTTAGATCCCAGCAACGGCATGGCATTGGATTTCACACAAGCAATACCATAAGGAGAGCAGGGAGCTCAGACTGTTTGAAAATGTGATTTGCAGTGAGGTTCAAGTAAGTAAAAAAACAGATCTCTCATCGCCCTTCCCAAATACTAAATCCCCTGCTGTTGGTGAAAATTCTGCACACTTCCACTGGTGTGCTCCAAGCCTGGCTTCGGGTGCAGTTATCACAACCCAGTCATAGGTGGACCTACACATCCAAACATCAGTTGGCTATTGTCTTAGGTCCTGCAAATCCGGCACAAGCAGAGGGTGATGGTACTGCAGAGGCAAGGCCCCCAGGGGAAGCAGGCTGCCGTACTTGCTTCCAGTTTCACACAGTGTTTGCGATGAGCATCTCTGCCGCTCTGTGGAGAGCAGCAGCTTTGGTAAACTGGGAGCTCTGGGTTAAGGCGATGGCACCTGTGGCTGTGTTCGCAGCTGGCGGAGCACTGGCAGTCTATTAGAAAGCACATGGAGCCTGACAACCTGTCCAAAGCCGAGGCTGTCCGGAGCTTCCTGGCCTTCATTCAGCACCTCAGAACTTCCAGAAGAGAAGAGATCCTCCAGATCCTGAAGGCAGAGAAGAAAGACGTCCTGTAAGCCACACTGTTGTTCAGGGCCATCTATCTGTCAGGCAGAGAGTTTCACACTGTTACTGTCTTTTAATTTTCTTAAAAGATTTACTTATTAATTATGCATGTAGGCTTGCAGGCTAGAAGAGTGCACCATATCTCATTATAGATGGTTGTGAGTCACCATGTAGTTGCTGGGAATTGAACTCAGGACCTTTGGAACATCAGCCAGTGTTCTTAACCTCTGAGCCATCTCTCCAGGCCCCTCTTTTAATTATTTTTAGATAGGTTTGCTTTATGTGTACAAATGCTTTGCTGCATGTCTTCTGTCCTTGGAGGTCAAAAGAGGATATTGGATCCCCTGGAACTGGAGTCACAGGTGGTTGTGAGCTGCCCTAAACCACGAGCAATCTCTCTTATTAAGTGAGAAGGACTCCTTTCCAGTCTTCTGTCCTACCTCCAAACCGGTGGCTCTTCTGGCCTGTATTTTCTGTCTAACAGCTGTGCCACACGTCAGAAATGTAGTGCTCACTGGGCCTGAAATGCAGTAGCAAGTTTTCACACTGATTCTCATACTATTATTTTGTGTTCATGAGTCTAAATTAGTACAGGCTTGGGTTTACCATGCCCTGGGATGAGGGTTGCTTCCCTCTGTGAAACTGTATTCTAAAGCTATTCATTGATTTTATTTGTTTGGTGTATTTTGAGACAAGGTTTTACTCTGTAGCCCAAGCTATCCTGAAACTTACTGTGTAGCCCAGGCTGGCCTTGAACCTGGGTTGATCCTCCTGCCTCAGCCTCCTTAGTGCTGAGATTACAGGAGTGAGACAACTGTGAGCATGGTATTTATATACATATGTTCATTAGCATGAAAATGTAGTTAAAAATTTTATCATATCCAGATTCAGTGAACCAATGATGTTTTTCATGACTAGTTTTTAACTAGAATCTTTCCATGGAAGACAATAACATATTTGTTGTGGATAAAATAGAACTACCATGATGTCTTTTTTATTTTTCAAGGGAAAAAACTTCTACCTTACATATGAATTTAAAATAGTTATCATCATTTTCTATCAATAATGTACTTTACTTAAATTAGGCATTTGAAAAAATTATTTGAGAAGTGTTTATGTTTGCAAAGCTTATTAGACAAAAGTGTTGAAATTTGGACTTTATAGTTTATGTTTTACTTAATTAGGAAATATTTTCAGCATAGTTTATGATTTTATTTATCTAATTGTAACTTAAAGATCTTCAAATTGTATTTTGGGGGCTAGTATAGAGTAATAATTTAAACGTTCTAAGAAAAAGAAAGAGAATTAAGGAGTCATTTAAATAGAATAAAGAGGTATTCTGAGAATATTCATATTTTTTGTTTAAAGGAAAAATGTACTTCTTCAGGAAGTTCAAGTTACTGAGTAGCTATGGGTGGCAGAGATCTGGAGTAATGTCCAGAGCGCTGTAAGCACTGATGCTTGAGGTGATGCTTGTTTTACAGACCTCAGCTTGTGGATGCTGTCACCTCTGCTCAGACCCCAGATGCATTGGAAGCCATCCTAGACTTTTTAGATTTCAAAAGCGACAGCAGTATCATTCTCCAGGAGAGGTTCCTGTATGCCTGTGGATTCGCCTCCCACCCAGATGAGGAACTCCTTCGTGCCCTCCTTGTAAGTCGGGGACACTGGGAAAATAGTGACCACAGGCTGTGAAAACAAAAACCTTTTAAATGTTAAACAGGTGTTAAAAGTGGATCCAGTCAGAGTCAAGAGCCCTCCTAGCGTTCACATGTGGGGGTGGGGGGGGGAGGCGGGCTTCTATTCTACACATTAATCACCAACAGCTCAGCAAACCTCACTGAGGTTCTTTGCAAACCTAGTGACCAGCACAACCTATACTTTCTGACAACCTAGAGATTACAGGCACCTATCTTATCATGTGACAAAGGACAAAACATCAGAGCGGAGAGTCTATACGATGCTTCAATAAGCAAATAAAATTACTTTGACTCAAAAAATCTTCTTGCTGTTTCTACATACACTTTGATGTCCCTGCTTCATATAAAGAATATTACAGACTTTTTTGGGGGGGATCTAGACTAACCTGAATAATCAAATCCCTGAACCCTGAAGGGTTCACAGACCGAGAGCAAGATCATCTGGGATTGGGCATTCTAGTAATCTTTCATGCAAAACCAGACAACATGTTTCTAGATGCCTCACGAACAAAATTCTGAATTGGTTGTCTAGAAATGTAAAATAATTTCCCCAGATGTGATTATTTTACTCACTGGAAAGTGTCCCTTTGGAATAAGGAAGTGTCCTGATGACCTATTTGATCCCTGTTTGGCCACAGAGTAAGTTCAAAGGTTCCTTCGCAAGCAATGACATCAGGGAGTCGGTTATGATCATCATTGGAGCCCTTGTCCGGAAGCTGTGTCAGAACGAAGGCTGCAAGCTCAAAGTAAGTGCCAGAGTCTCATGTCTGCTGCTGCCTGGACCCCCCAGGGGTATGCCATGTCGCCTACACTCCCCACCTCTCAACTCCGCTTGTCCCTTTTGCCTAGCAATCATTTCCATCTCACACACTTCACAGTTTAGCTTAGCTTTCTTGTTTATTTCTGTCTCTCGCTGCAATGTAAGCTCCACTCAGTGATGAATCTTTGCTTTTCAATGCCAGTTGCTTGAATGATGCCCACCTCATAGACTGTGGTCAACAAACACTCTCTACAGAGGAGATCACCCATCAGTCTTCCTCCTAACACAAGTTTGTTGAGAGTCCTCCATTTATGTACTCACACATATTTTGCCTTTGTTTTTATTTGTTTTTGACAAATTATACATCTATATTTATGTATACACATACGCATGCATATGAATGAATGTGTATGTGAGGTGAATGTGATCCTTGATACATGAATGCATTGTGCAATCATCAAATTGGGTGATTAGCATATCCATAACCTCCAATACATATTGTCTCCTTAGAATAAAGAGATTTAAAATGTATTCAAGGTATTTTGAAATATAACAATGCAATATTATTAACTATAGTTGCTATGCTGTATGGCCTCATGTTTCACTGGAACTGTATGACCAACATCTTTCCACTTCTGGTCTATCCTCTTCTGCCTAGCACCCCCAGGGTATTTAGTTCTCTGTGCCTGGCCTATTTCACTGAGCATAATGTCCTCTGGATCTATCCATTTAACAAGCAATAGAATTTCTCCCTTTTTAAAGACTGAATCACATTCCACTGAATCACATTTCGTGTGTGCATACCAAATTCACAGCCATCGTGAATAGAAGTCTAGTGAGCATAATTGTGTAGCTGTTTCTTCATCATACTGACTGAATTTTCTGTGGGCAAATACTCAGAAGTAGGGCTGCTGTATAATGGGTAGTCCCATTTTCCAAAGCAACTGCACTATATGATTTGCAAATAATATCTTCTAGTCTCTCTGCTGTCTTTATTCTTCAACACTTTGCTGTGCAGGTCTTTAATCTGAAGCACGTCCTTTAGTCTATTTTTGCTCTCTTTCCCTCCATGTCTTGGGGGCCTCTGTGAGGAATCGCGGTTTCCTTCTAGATATTTTGCAGTTTCAGGTCTCAACTTTAAATACTTGATTGATTTGAGCTCCTTCTTGCAGAGGAGTTAGGAAAGGGTCCATCTTCATTCTTTTGTATGTGAATGTACATATTCTCGTAGCCATTATTGAAGACACTATCTTTACCCCATTGTATGTTTTTGACATTTTTCTTTAAAAGCCTTTGGCCATTGCTATGTGGGCTTATTTATCCCAGGCTGATTCCATGGGCTGTTGTTACTAAATATTTGTGCCAACAACATGCCATTTTTATGACTGCAGCTTGGTACTGTATTTTAAAATGGGATGCCTCCAGCTTCGATCTTTTTGCTCAGTTGTTTTGGCAATTCAGTATCTTTTTTTATTCTGTACAGATTTTAAAACTTTTTTTTTTTTTTTAGTTCTCTGAAGATATCTGGTATGTTTATGTGGATTGCATTGAATCTGCATGTGACTTTGGATCATATATACGTCTAACAATATTGGTTCTTCCAACCCATAACCATGGAATATCATTTTACCTATTAATGCTGTTTCCCCTTGTTTCCATCACCATTTTCTAGTGTTCAGTATGCAGTGTCTCATGTCCTGGGGTATACTCTAAGTATTTTTTATGCTATTATAAAAGGTCTGTTTTATTAACTTCCTTTTCAGATAGCACATTGTTAATGTCTGGAAATACTACTGATTTTGTTGGTTGACATTGTGTCCTGCAACTTGACCAAACCCATTTATCAGTTCCAATAGTGAGATAGTGGAGTCTGTAGACTTTCCTATGTCTAAAGTTATCTGGTAATGAAACAAGTGAGCTCAGATATTTCTTTTCCTCTTTAATAGCTTTTATTTCTATTGTCTGGCTAATTGTTCTGGCTAGGACTTTCACAGTGATGGTGAATAGTGGTGCCTACTAAGCATTCTTTTCTTGCTCCTGATCCTGGAGACACCCTCAGCTTTCCATTGTGCAGTGTGTTCGTGTATTATGAGTTCATCACATATGGGATGATCATGAGGGACATTCCTTCTGCACCCAATTTGTTGGGAGTTATCAGAACAGATAACATTTCATCTGATGTCTCTTCTACATGACCATATCGCTGCTCATATGGTCAGCTACATTTGTTCATTTGCATTTGCAAAACCCTGACTGCATTCGTCACAGGGATAAATCTCATTCAACCATGCAGAGTTAAAAAGATTTATTGATTTCATGTGTATGAGTGCTTTGCCTGCATGTATGTAATTACATTGCACTTGTTCCTGGTGCCTGTGAATGGCAGGAGAAACCCTGGAGCCGGAGCTACCAGTGGTTGTCAGCTGAGGACCGAACCATGTTCCTCTGCAAGAGCATCAAGTGCTTTTAACTGCCGACCCATCCCTCTTTCTCCCCGATGCTGTTCTTTGTTGAGAAGTTTCAGGTCTATGTTCAGCAGGGAAATTTGTTCCTAGTCTTCTGGTAGGGTCTTTGGCTCTGCTGTGGGCTGTCTCCCTAAGCTGTGTAGTCTGTGTGCCCCTTGCTCCTCACAGCTGACTCTGAGGACTTTTGTGTTTGCCTTATCAGTGATAACTTCTCACCTTCAGTTCTCAATTTGCCTATTTGAGTCTTTTATCTTTTTTTCTTATTTTAGCACAAGGTCTGTTAATTTTGATTATGTTTTTTAAAAACTCACAATTTTGTTCTCATTGATTTTTTAAAAATTATTTTCTACTTCATTTATTTCTGGTTTTTGTTATTTTCTTCCTTGTGCTAATTTTGAGTTTAGTTTGTTCTTAAAAGTTATTTGAAATAAAATATGCTACTTATTGGAGACACTTTTTGATGTCAGTAATTACTGCTATAAGCTGTGTTTTTAGGGCTGTCTTTACAGCAACCATAAAATATGCTGTGTTTCTTTTTTTATTAACTTGAAGATGTATTTAAAGTTCTTTGATCCAAGTTGTTCAGGGGAATATTATTTAATCTCCACACATTTGTTACGTTTTCTGCATTTCTTTCTGTTATTTGATTTCTAGTTTTACATAATTGTGGCTGCAAAATATTAGATATGGTTTCAGTCTTCTTAAATTTGTTAAAAAGTAGTGTGCCAGATGTAGTGTTGCACGCTTTTAATCTCAGCGCTGGGAGGCAGAGGGACATTGATCCCTGAGAGCACAAGGACGGCCTGCTCTGTATAGTGAGCTCCAGGCCAGCCAAGGCTACATAGTGAGACCCTGTCTCAAAAATGGCCCCAAATAACAACAACAAACCCCCCAAAGTTATAGTGTAGCCTAATATCTGATGTAGCCTGCACATTTTTTTGTCTACTTTGTAGGTATTGTGTGTGATGTTCAGCACATGACTTGGATCCGTGTGCCCCAAGGGGAGTTCAAGTCAGGTGTTTCCTCACTGGCTTTGTCTAAATGGCCTGGAAAGTCCTATCTGTTTCTTGGGTTGCAGTCTTTCTTCTTTCATATTTCTAACTGGCCATTTTATATGTGAAGATGTTCTGTTACTTGGGTGTGTATGTGTCTATAGTTCTTACTGTAAGGGGTTTGATGACCAAACCCCTCTGCACAATCGAATGATCTTCTTTGTATCTTTTGATTGATATGTATAGAATAATTCTTGTCCTTAGAAGTTATGGGACTCTACAATTTCCTCCCTGACTGGAACCTTTTCTGTGATGAGTGCAACCTTCAAGTGTGAGTTTTGTTGATATGAATTTACTTGCTGCTGGTCCCCTAGAATTTTGTGTCTTCGTCATATTTGCTTAAAGTTTTTTGCTTGCCTGAGCAGCCTATCAAATCTCTCATCTGTTCCATTAAACAAACAAACAAACAAACAAACTTGCTTTGTAAGCATAATTAATATGGAAACCCCAAGTGGGTTCAGTCTAGTAATGTCTATTAAAAAGTCTGTTTTTCTATTCTACAAGATAAAAATGCTGAATACATACAGACTCTTTTCTCCCCATAATGATTTTGAGCTAGCAGTCAGCTAATAATTTTCTACAGAAAGACATCACTGTGTCATATTTTTCTTCTAAATGTTTGTTATTAAAAACAATATGGTGCCAGGAGGTGGTGGCGCACACCTTTAATCCCAGAACTTGGAAGGCAGAGGCAGACGGATCTATGACTTCAAGGCCAGCCTGGTCTGCAAAGCAAGTCCAGGACAGCCAGGGTTATTATACATAGAAACCTTGGCTGGAAAGACCAGCCAACTCAACATCAAGCAAAAGCCCAATATGGAGGATCATTCTTGAGACCAAATGGTTCCACAGAGAGCAGGCTACTGATAGAATTCATGATAAGCATCCAACAAAGGACTACTAAAACAGGGATATTGAAAATGACTAGCAGTTTTGAATTTAGCATTACATCTAAGACATCTGAGAATGATAAATCCCTACATTTCCAGTTTCAATAATTACTAAACAGATGATTTATTTGATCCATTTCTGTGTTAAATATTGTGTCTGAAGACAAACCCCACACATAAAAAAGCCAGTCGTCGTTATTTAGTGAACACTGAATTTACTAGGCATGATGCCAATCATTTAATATAAAGATGCGTAGGATATCACACCACTCTCAAAGAGTTCCTTGTCTGTTTATCAAATACAAAGATATCAGCATATGTAGATTCTCTAATGAGGCCTGAGTTGAAAATAGCATGTGCAATGACGATTTATTCAGCACAGCATACCATTTGCCCACCAGTCACATTATATTGAAGACAACAAATAATCTAGAGATTACTCAAGTAAGCAGGATTGGACACTTGGACAAGCAAATATTGTCTTATTTTATCTGAGGATCCCAAACACCCATGATCATGGAAATCCAGAAGGCAATTCCTACAGATGCTGCAGTATTAAATGGAAATATGGAACCACAGTTGCCTTTTGTTTGAGCTGTTGAGGAAACGTTCTCCACATAGAACATCGGGCTTCATCTGGAATTGTCCTTCTGCGTTCAGAGCGTGTTAAAGACTAAATGTCCTTATTAAGTGTGCTCTGCCTTTCCAGAACACAGAAGCACACATTTGAGAAGGCTCAGTGCCTTTGTAAATTTTACTTGACAGCCAAAGCAAGTCGATGTCGATGTTGCTTTCTTGTCTGAGTGTTGCAATTGGACATTTGTCTGAGGTGTGTGGTGTTTTTTAGGCAGTGGTTGACGCTAAGAAGCTGATCCTGGGAGGACTTGAAAAACCAGAGAAAAAAGAGGATACCAAAATGTACCTGCTGGCCCTGAAAAACGCCTTGCTTCCTGAGGGCATCCCTCTGCTTCTGAAGTACGCTGAGTCTGGAGAAGGGCCCATCAGCCACCTGGCTACCACTGTTCTCCAGAGATACGACATCTCCTTCATCACAGATGAGGTAAACATTAACAGAAGGAGGGAGAAAAAAACATTTCTGGTAAAACAATGCTATCTACACTCAAATAACTCTGGTTTGGTTGGGCTTTTACTCAGAACAGTCACACTCTTTTGCTTAGAAATAATTCTTAAGTTGTATTGGAGGCTAATTCCAATCAGCCTCACATTTTGAACAGGTATGACCTATATCCCGAAACATATATATATAAAATCACATTTTCTTATTTTAAGAAACAAATTCTAGTAGCTGGCCAGGTAGCTCAGCTGGCTAAAATGTGGTGCTAAGAAACAAATTCTCTCTAGAAATATCTTTACTTTTGTACATTTCAGATATCTTTACTTTTGTACATTCATATATCTTTACTTTTGCACATTACTTTTGTACATGGTCACGTTTTCTGCTGGTTGAAGTATGTGACTTCACCTGCTCATGTATCATGTCCTGGAAGCCACCTACATTATGATTTGGTTAAAGCAGAGAGTGTTTCAACGTGATTGTTCTGTGAGGGTGTTTGCCACTCGGGATGATCTCTGCACTTTGCAGCCTAGTGTCCTCCTACCGCTTTTTGTAAGAAGGTAGTTGGCTATGAAGCATGAGATGTAGGCTTTTGAGAAAGACCAACCCAGCTATAAATTCTCAGTGGTCGTTTCTCAGTTGTCTATTCTTGGGTGGGTTATTTAACTCCTACAAGTCTGAGAGCAAAGGCAAGATGTGATGAGATAGGAAAAGACAAGAGGCAAGGAGAACTAAGAAAATGGCACAGTAAATGTAGACTTGAGATTCAAGAGTGGTGTAATGCCTTACAGAAGCCAATTCTTGAAGGGAAATAGTGTAGTCCCATGAAACCTGTATTCATTCCTCCCGAGGGCAAGGCTTCCATAGCCTGATTTTGTTCCACTATACCCCACCTCTCAAGGGTTCTACCATCTTAACACCAACATACTGATGACCACATGCAAACCTCTGTGGGGGACACACTCAAACCATACAGATTAGTGCAGAATGTTGATCTGGGGGAGTTGTGCATGTGCTGGGGTTGAGGAAATTTGGAAATTCTACTTCTGCTATAAACATAAAACTACTATTAGAAACTGGCCTCATTAATTTTTAAAAAGATAGATAGATAGATAGATAGATAGATAGATAGATAGATAGATAGATAGATAAAAGGAATCTAAGGTACTTTACTCTAAGAAAATACCAGTTCACACTACCTTCCCCCCTCCAGGTCCCCCATTGTCGCAGCAGCAGACCTGGGGGTTTATATTGGATAATACCAAGCACTGTTGTAATAACACGTGAACCATAAAACCTTGATCGAAACCTTGATCAACAGTTTACTACTCACGCTGCATCTAACAGGGGTTAGGGAATATGCAGCTATGTGGTGATAGCAGTCATGAGCAGTAATAACAGGCATATCTGAATAAGCACTTGCTACTCTCACTACAATGTCAATTTTAAAATTATTACATTAATTTAGTGTGCGTGTGTGTGTGTGTGTACGTACCATGGCATACATTAAAAGTTGAGTAGACGACCTTTTGAAGTCAGCTCTCTCCTTTCACCACGGGAGTCCAGACGGTGGAACTCCCACATTATCAGGCTTGGCCGCAGAGGTGGTGACCCATCTCACCGTCCCTACAGTATCAATTTTAAAACTCCATGGGTTGCTAAGATTAAAAATCTTCCAACAGGTAAAGAAGACCTTGAACAGGATATACCACCAGAATCGAAAGGTTCACGAAAAGACCGTGCGCACCACTGCCGCCGCTGTTATCCTAAAGAACAACCCATCCTACATGGACGTGAAGAACATCCTGCTGTCTATTGGGGAACTTCCCAAGGAGATGAATAAATACATGCTCACTGTGGTGCAGGACATCCTGCGGTTTGAAATGCCAGCCAGGTACGATGAGCTCCACAGGCCTCTTCTTATGCAAGCCTATTTGTATGTTGATGCCCACACGTAGCTAATAATCATGACTTGGTCATCAAACATGTAATATTATATAAGCCCAATGAGTGTCCAATTTCCCCAGTGAAACTTTTTAGGGAGTTAACTAAGACAGCTTCCCTTTCAAGGATCGTGATTTGGAACTCTGGGTAGGGCTCTTTCTCTGGGTATCTGCTCCGTATGGAAACGTGTATCACCAAATGTTAGCAAAGTTCTAAAGCCTCAGTGCATTTTCAACAGGACTATTTTTGTAAGTAGCACAATGAGAGGAAGCAAGCTCTCAACAAATGCTCTTTCGTCTTAACTTTCTAAATGCGAGGGCTCTTTTTGAAGACTCTTCTCACAGCTCCCCTGAAATTGCTGCTCAAGTTGCAAATCTTAGTCACAGCCCACAGTTGAGGGAGCGCTGTACCAGCTGGCTTCACTGTGCTCTGTCACTCTTGCTAGACTCACTTCATCCCATTGTGCCGCCTTTCAAAGTCACTCTGATCATCACTCACTCTTCAGAGCATTTGCACCCAAGCTCCGGCTCACGGGAATCAGAGAGGGATGTGCATCTCCTCTGAGATGCATGAGGAGCACTCCCCCCAGGGAGGATCAAATGTGGGCTTTCATTACAGAAAAGGGAAGCAGGACTGGGGTTTGGTGGGAGTAAAAGGACATGAAAATGAAAAGAAGAGGGCCGAGAAAGAAGAAGCAGAAGGGAGAAGGGACAAGAAGTAGGGTAAGAACAGAGGGAAAAGCAGGACAGTTAGAAGGGAGGTGAGGGGGTCAGGAGCAGAAAAGAACCCAGGCCTTTCTGGACTGTGGGGATCAGGTTCTTCTGTCTCTTGGTTGTCCTGGGAGACTTCTTGGAGGAGGCCACAGGCGTGGTTGGTGCCTCTGCTTTGTGAATCTAGCAATCCGGGACAGGAAAGAGGAGGTAGTGGGGCAGACAGCAGCCTGGGGCATGGAAAGAAAGTCATTATAAACATTTACATCAGAGTCTCAGAAACCAAACCCTTAAAGCTGGAAGGGATTTTACTGTCCACCTTGTGTGGTATGTATCTCTTTCCAGTGTAGGGGTGTTTTTTGGTTTTTTTTTGTTTTTTTTTTTTTGTTTATTTTGCTTTGTGCTGTGTTTGCCTCCTCACTTATCTCCACAGTGACTGATTCCCCTTACAAGAAAAATCATAATATAATATACAGCTCTTAGGGAATTAGTTTCTTTTTCTCCAATACTGCTAGCAGAGAAAAGAATCAAGTATTATCAGTTGAGAACTGGTTGTTTGTTTGTTTGTTTGTTGTTGTTTTTCTGTCCTGGCAAGTGGCACCAGGCTCCGCTTGACTCTCCTGTATCATCTGTCAATGGTGATTTTAGAAGGCAGAAAAAGAGTAAAGAAAATGTACGGAGCCTCCTGTTTGGCACAGCTTTCTTAAATGTATATACTATTTTAACAGTACAACTGTGATGGCTCAAAGAATATGCATTTTCAGTTCCAAAGGTGTCCACCAGGCAGCTGAAGGCATCTCATAGCTGGCCATCCTTACTCTCTGTCCTTTCCACACCAAACTAAATTCCAGATATTTGAGGAACAAAGGGAAAGCCCTCATCTGGCCACTGATGCCCAGCTAGCACTTCCTTCAGCCTTGGAGAGGCGTGAGGAAAATGTAGCCTCCTCTTTTTAACACTGAGTGTGTGACTGCATTCCCGATTTGATGTGGGAAATGGACATTGCTGTGGGTGAGACATCTTCTTCTCTGTGTTGCAGCAAGACCATCCGGCGAGTTCTCAAAGAGATGGCCGCGCACAATTACGACCGGTTTTCCAAGAGTGGCTCCTCCTCCGCCTACACTGGCTACATAGACCGTAGGTGACCCCCAAAGAGCGTTCCCTCCCGCCCGTCTCGTTAGCATTGCTGGAACTGCTGAGTCCTGTGGTTGTTTCGCCTTTAGGTAGCCCCCATGCGGCATCCACATACAGCCTCGACATTCTCTACTCCGGTTCCGGCATCCTGAGAAGAAGCAACCTGAACATCTTCCAGTACATCGGAAAGGCAGAGCTTCACGGTAGTCAGGTACCTCATGTCCCGTGAGTTATTATTGGGAAACAAACAAACAAACAAACAAACACCGCTGGTCTGAGATAAAATGACATACACTGAGAGGAGCTTTGCAGGATGTGTTTGCAAGCGAATGGTAGCTTCTGCCAAGAAGTTTCAAATCTAAAATCGAAACCAAACTATTTTGGTTTGCTGCACTTCCCAGATGTTCTGCTTGTAACTCTAAACAAGCACACATTTACAGAATTGAAGTGGTGACAGAATTTGCTAGTTAAGCTTTCATTCGCAGATACGTTCCTTAGGTATTCCTTAGGTATTCCTTAGGTCTTCCTAAGTATTTAACTTTATGCTGTGTTTGCCTCCTCACTTATCTCCACAGTGACTGATTCCCCTTACAAGAAAAATCATAATATAATGTACAGCTCTTAGGGAATTAGTTTCTTTTTCTCCAATACTGCTAGCAGAGAAAAGAATCAAGTATTAGCAGTTGAGAACTGGTTGAATTTTTGCCCAAAATTAAAAGTTGATTTATCTTTATTATGAAGTATACCATCATTTTAGTTTTAGGGATATTAGATTGTAACGTCTAATTGAAGTTATCCAAGCTTCAAAAATGATCCATTGCTCTGGAAACTTGAGCGTTCATCAATATGAAACGACCACACCCTTCATAGCACCACGGTCAGAATCCCATACCTTCCATGCCATGGCACTGCCATCTGCTTTCTGATGCGCACTCGGAAATGCGAAACACACAGTGCCGAGAGCCTGGCTAAGCATGATGGAAAATATCCAAAATGCCTTAACTGCTTGTCAGCGGGGTGTGAGCACTCCCATGGCGCAGCCTCATTTTCATGGTGAAGGATGGAGGTCTGACATGCAGGCGTGTTGATGTCCCCTCTCGGAATAGCAGATTGGGTGGCAGTGCTTACGTCCCTCCACCTCCTGTCAGAGGCCCACAGAGATGGCGGGTCCCTTGTAGGAGACAGCGTGGGGAGATTGAGTGTCTCAGGTGATACCGTCCAACAGAAGGCCTTTGGTCTTTGCGGTCACACGGCAGGGGTTCAAGCCCAGGTTCTGCCACATGCTAACTAAGAGAACACTCACCCATCTCCACCTCCTCTCCTAAATGGGTGAAATCTTCCATACAGCTAAGGGTAGTTAGGAAGATTACATGAAGAAAACCGATCTCCATTATGTTAGGCACAGAGGCTTAGTTTTCATTTTGGCCTAAGAAGATATTTGAGAGTTGGGTCCTGAAAAAGTTCTGTCTGTAGCTGAGGGCTCTCCTGGACTCAAGGAGAAGGTAGGGAATTGTAGTCACCAACCTTGTGTCCTCTCCCCCCTAGGTGGTCATTGAAGCGCAAGGGCTGGAAGGCTTGATTGCAGCCACCCCTGACGAAGGAGAGGAGAACCTCAACTCTTATGCTGGCATGTCAGCCATCCTGTTTGATGTGCAGCTCAGACCTGTCACATTTTTCAATGGATACAGTGACTTGATGTCCAAAATGCTGTCAGCGTCTGGAGACCCTATCAGTGTGGTGAAAGGGCTTATTCTGCTAATAGACCATTCTCAGGTAACACTCGACCTCTCTTAGCCTGCAAGTATTTACTGAGTCCCATCCCACTGGTGTGTGTATGTGTGTGTGTGTGTGTACATGTTTGTGCACAGTAAGCGCATCATTACATGATCCGATTTCTGTGGAAGCCAGAGGCCAACCCCGGAAATCTTCCTCAATTGCTTTCCAGCTTATTTATTGGGACAGTCTCTCTCTCTCTGACTCTGGAGCATGCTCAATTAAGCTACCATGGTCAGACTCCCATCTCTGCCACCCAACACTGGAATTACAGGCATGCACAACTACGACTTGATTTTACACGAGTGATGGGGACTGAAATCAGGTCTCATGAGGCAAAGAGTTCTCCCAGCGGAGTCTCTCCCAGCCCACCAGACACATTTTTAACATGTCTAAAGGAATACAAGCTAAAGCTCTGCGGCCCTTGGAGCTCACGCTCTGTGCATTTAGTTCTCTCGCTACTGTGGCCCTTTCTCCTGTGCTATAGATAAGCAGCATTTGCTTTCCCGGTTATTGCTTGCTTAGTAGAGCATGCCTGAGTTGCAACAGAGCAGAGATGGCATTATGTGCATTCTTGGTTTTTTGTTTTTGTTTTTCATTCTGGGGCTTGGCTATTTATCCTGAATGCAGGAGCTGAGCTATCTGGCCTTGCTGGTGATGACAGTGATCATGAAAATCAGCGTGGCACATCATTTTGATGATGCCAAACTAGTGCAGGCCTGAGCCATTGCTGACCCCAACCCATTTGTCAGATTCATGGGTTTTTAGGGAAGCTTGCTCGTTCATAGAGAACATAAGCACTTTCCTTCCTTCCTTCCTTCCTTCCTTCCTTCCTTCCTTCCTTCCTTCCTTCCTTCCTTCTTTCTTTCCTTCTTTCTTTCTTTTTGACCTTGTTCTTCAGGGTATTTTTACAATGCTCCATGGCTCTAAGTCTTACAACAGTTCTTATGTGGAAGAGCTTCAGTGACTAAGATACTGTGGCATTCAGATAACTTGCCCAATTGGATTTCCTGAGGGTTCACATGAACAGCCCTAGAAATTGAGTGTTGGTGCCTATGTTTTTTATTCTTTAATGTTTTGATGCATATCTTGCCTTAGCACAATGATTTTAAAAATGAAACATTACTAAGTAGCATCTTATGAGGCCTTGGTATGTCCTCTAACTCATATGTATTGGACTGAAGCGCTATACGAGATTTAATTTAAAATGTATGCATTGTGGGACTGGCTTTCTTGGTGGTGTGGTGACAGCATCCATGACAGCCTGAGTCGGAGGTCAGCTTTTAGCGCTTCCTTGATGTGATCCTGGGAAGTAAGCTACTGAATAGCATCAAGCCATGGCTTCCTTCTACAAAGTGAGGCAGTTACAACCGACCTGAAGATTTTAGCAGCTGTATTGTTTTCCACCAATAATTTAAGAATTCTGGCTTGTTTGTTTTATTTTGGTTATGAAGCATGGGTTTTAAGAGCTGAGGAAATCTTAGGTATGGCATTTTGTTGAAGTTCACCCCAGCCAGGCATGGTTGTGCACTCTTTTAATCCCAATACTCAGAGGGCAGAGGCAGCTGGATCTCTGTAAGTTTGAGTTCAGCCTGGTCTACAAAGTGAGTCCAGGACAGCCAGGGCTACACAGAGAAACCCTGTCACAAAAAAACAAAACAAAACAAAACAGAAAAAAACCAAACCAAACCAAAAAACATATCACCCCCAAAACACCAATGACTGTAATTAAATGTTATTATGTCTCTTTATATCTCCTTATAAACATTCAAGGTAGTCATAGATCATAAAAGCATTTGATAGTTTGACTTTTATGATGTAATAAGTATTTGGAAGTAGACAGTCCAGGGTTAACACAGAAATCCTCAGGGACCAGAACCTATACACTTCAGCTCAGCCTGCCTAACTGTGACTTTCCTTCTTTTCTTTTTTTGAGACAAGGTCTTATTGTGCAGTATTGGCTGGCTTGGAAATCACTGAACAGGCTGGCCCCAACCTCACAGGAATCTGCCCGCCTCTGCCTTCCAAGCGCTGGGACTAAGGGCATGAGCAATCGTGCCCAGCTTTAGTATGACTTGCAATCTCACACTTGACACTTTGTGACTACGTGACAGGCACTTCCCTCCCGGCACAGTACCCATCCCCCACCCCTCCAAAGAAGGAAAAAGGAAAGGATAAAGAGCTGGTTGCCATTCCAGAAGTCGCTGTCACATAGCTATCTCTAGCTGCAAGGGAAGCAGGATCTTACAGCTTTGCACTGTATATATGTCTTAGTTAAATTTTCTTTTGCTGTGAAAAGTCACCATAAACCATAAACATGACAAGTCTTATAAAGGAAAATATTTATCTGGGGCTGGCTTACAGTTCCAGAGGTTTAGTCCATTATTATCATGGTGAAAAGCATGGTAAAACATAGGCAGACCTAGTGCTGGAAAGGAGCTGAGAGTTCTACATCTTGATCCGACCTTCAAGTAGCAAGAAATGACAGTGACACACGTCCTTCAACAATGCTATGCCTAATAGTGACACTCCCTATGAGCCTGTGGGGGCCATTTTCTTCCAAAGTACCAAAGTGTAGGTGTACTTTGAAGAAAAGCATGTTTCTCTTCCTGTGAATGGAGAGAAGGAGAAAAACCAGAGGTTCCCCTCACACTTTCCAACCCTGAAGTCTTACATAAATAAACACTCAGTGCTGGCAAACCTGTAGAGAGCAGAGGGTGAATATTTCTGGCCAAAAGGTCTTGATACACCTATGTAGCCCTGTGATTACAGAATAAAAACAACCATAGCAGTATGTTAAATGAGTAGAGCTGTGTTCCAATGAAAGTTTGTTTACAAAAACAGCCAGTGGAGCAGAATTTCCTGCAGGCTATAGTCTGTTAATCCCCGAATTAAATATCCTTATATAGTTTTTCTGTTCATCAAGATAGGGCACCCTGGGCACAGTGTGGTATATGAGAGACTGCCCCTTCATTACTAAACATACCCAGTGTCATTGTGTATCAGGCTGAAGAATTTGGCAGATCTGAGGTTATTTCATAAATAAGCTGCCGAGGCCCAGGACTCTGAAAAACACTCCAGCAATGCTATCCTAGCTTCAGAAGCACTCCAGGTCAAGTGCTGACATTGAAGGAAATATTGGCAGCTGGTGGCCTGTCACAGCCACCAGGACAGATCAAATTATTCAGTGTTCTCCCTCTCTCTCTTTCTCTCTCTCTCTCTCTCTCTCTGTGTGTGTGTGTGTGTGTGTGTGTGTGTGTGTGTGTGAAGCTGTCTGTCTCTGCCTCTCTGTCTATCCGTCCTTGGATTACATACCTGAAAAAGAAGAGCTTCCTTAGCCAGGAAGTAATGCATTTTCTTAAATAGAAGCAAATGAGGAGCTGTCAAAATGTCAGGGTCTATTCTATAAGAAACAACTTTCATGTCATCATTAAAGAGCAAAGGGATCACATCAACCAGACAACCAGAGCTACAAAGTGCTGGCACCTTTTTTTTTTCTCTAGTACATAGATAGACAAAGCATTAAATAAATGTATTCTGGGCCAACTGAGGCCTTAAGTTTATGCTCTGTCTTCTTTGCAGTATTTCTCAGAACAGACTTTGTTACAGACTATGAGATAAAGAGTTGTGACTATGTGATAGTAGTTGACAACAGCTGAAAAGCCCCAACCTTAGACACAGAGTGTGTAGTTCTTTTGGCTCTAAGTGCAGGCTTGGAGCCATAGCGTTCCTATCAGTGAAGAAATGTAATACTTCCGATGTAGGCCAGCAGGAAGTTCAAACCTGTATGTCCAAAGCACGTGTGAGGCTTTGGACACACAGGTGCTCAAAATTTGCTAGTTCCACTCGCTCCAATCTCTTAAAGAACTAGGACCACTGCGCTGTATGGTTTGGTCCCTTTTACAGAGATGGGGGTGGGGTAGAGGTGGCAGGTTGTTTTGTCTTCATAAATAGATCCAGTAGAACTCCTTGTGGCTACAAACAAGAGTTCTTCCCTGGTCCCTTTGCAGGGAAGAAAAGGAATCATTTGAGAAAGACAAAGTGGTTTTTTTTTTTTGTTGTTGTTGTTGTTGTTTTTGTTTTTGTTTTCCAAACCACTTGCAGTAGTCATGGCCTTCTCACACAAGGCCTCTTGTCCGTTAACTGTGAGGTGCTCTTCTCTATGGCTTGGGTGCTTTGACAGCCAGCTCATGTATGGCCAATGGGAAGGTCGAGAGCTACATCATAGGGTCCTACTGGGGTAGATGGATTAACAAGGCTACATACGTCAAATGAAGAAAACAGAAGATTATCCGAAGAAAGGAGTATTCCTGAGGCAGGACGCAATCAGAGTTACTTGGCAACAGGTGTGGGCGTGGTGGGCAGCAGACCTCTGATGTCTCCTGGTTTTTCAAAGGTTTAACTACACATTTGGGCATGGCTGTTGTGCATTCTACAGGATTGGTTGTTTCTTTCCATTGGTTATAAGGCATGGCATAGCCCCTATATCCTATGGCAACCACGTTTGTGTCCTAGAGTAAATACAACTTTAAGCATGCCAAGAGTTGTCGCTTCATGTGTCCCAACCCTGCCATTGAGCACTCACTACTCCTTACAGGAGTGTCCTTCAGAATGAAAGCATTTTTGTATCAAGGTCAAACTTTCTCAGTCTACTTGAGTGTAAACCATTTCTCTGAGGTTTCCTGCCATGTTTGATTCGCTGGTTTGTTTGAAATCCAGAGAGAATGGCACAGTCCTACCTAAAAAGTGCAATCATGGTGTTTGGGCTTGGCGAAAGCACGGCTTTTCTGGTCTGCTTATGGCAGCTACACAAAGAACTTAGTCATGCTCTTAGCTGCCAGGAACTCTTAACCTCTTTGGAGGGGTACCAACATAAAGGGTACAGAGCTAGATTCCCGGAAACATTATCACATTCAGAGCTGCCCCAGACCACCTGACCTCAGCCTAGCACAAACCCTCCTCAGCCAGTGTCATCCCACTTCATGTACACAGAAAGTGTGAGGGTTAAAGTCTGCATACTGGCAGACCACACTAAGCAGTTGTTCTGTGGCAATAAGAAAGCCATTGGGGGTGGGGGGGGGGCTTTCTTTTTTAAATGGTCACTGTGCTTTGGGGAAATACTGTTGAATTTGTGCTTGGCTTGGCCATTGTCTGAATGTCATTTCAAACGTCAAATGGCAGGGTGTTGAAGCCTCGTTAAATTGCCTTCCCTTGACCTAGGGCAGTTCCTGGAACTTGAATCCTGCACTGGGAATTGTCATCCTTTTTTTTGGGAGGGGGTGAAAGATGTAGTTGTCTGTGTTTGGCCCAGCATTCAACTAGCAAAGTGCTTAAGGACTTGAAGAGAGTTTTGTCCAAACTTTGCATTCCCAAAAAAAGCCACAGCTGGGTTTCTGATGGAAATACCTTCATCTTCTTGTTCCAGAGGTTCTCAAATTCAGTTGTGTCAGAATCACAGGAAGGCATAGTAGAAGAGTTTGCTGGGCCCCACCCTCAGGGTTTCTAAATCAGTAGGCGTGGGGGACCAGAGAAATTGTGTTTGAAACTGTTCCCAGAGTGCGGACTCTCTGCCTAAAGCCACACATCGAAAATGAATGACCCCACCACCACCAAAGGGAGGCAAGGCTCAAAGAAAAAGAGCCTTCTCAGCTGATACTCCATTCCCTATTTTAACTGCCTTATTTAGCAAATTGACAACGCCTTCTTTTGGTGACCAAGTTTAGGATAACATTCCCAAGTCTTCTTCACTGGGGGTATATTGTGAGAGCAGACCAGTAGCTTAGTAGGTGAAAGGTCCTGGGCTTGCAGGGACACAAACAAAAAATGTGCATTGATATAAAAAAGACCTTCCAGTGGAGCAGGTTGGCTGTTCACTATACAGCGAAAAGCCAAGCGCATCTCTGGAGGATGTATTAACTAACTTGTGCTTATTACTGTATTTTTTTTTTCTTCTAGGATATTCAGCTGCAATCAGGACTAAAGGCTAATATGGAGGTCCAGGGTGGTCTAGCTATTGATATTTCGGGTTCAATGGAATTCAGTCTGTGGTATCGAGAGTCTAAAACTCGAGTGAAAAATCGGTAAGCGTAATGAAAAAAAAAAGCAGGAAATATGTCTTAGATGCTGTTTAACCTTCAGACTTTTCTAGATCTGTGCTTTCTGTTTGCAACTGTAAGCCAGGGGGTCAGAAATGATTGTAGAAATTTATTACATCGATAACATCTTAGTTTTATGAACGCTGAGGGTCTTTTTACTTTTAAGGACACCCACAGACAATATAGAGATGAACCTCATCCTGTTTTCACATTTCACTTTAGTAGTTGACAGTTGTCTTAGTGGGGTTTCTAGTGCTGTGATAAAACATCATGACCAGAAACAAGTTGAGGAGGAAAGGGTTTATTGCCTCTTACGGTTTGTAGTCCATCCTAGTCCATCCTCCGGGGAAGTCAGCGCAGGAGCTCACAGAAGGAACTGATGCAGACAGTGAGAGGCTCTGCTTACTGGCTCGCACAGCCTGCTTTTTATTAAATAGCACCCTGGAACATCAGCCCAGAGCTGGCACCACCCACAATGAGTTGGGCCCTCCCACCTGAGTTACTAATTAAAAAAAACAAAACAAAAACCACCCTCTAGCTTGCCTGCAGCCTGATTTTATGAAGGCATTTTCTCAACTGAGAGTCTCCTCAAATGACTCCAACTTGCATTGACATCAAGCTAGCTGGCACAGTTGATCCCTTGTCAAACTGATGCACAAACACATTGCTGTTAAACCACAGCCTTTTCTTTTCTTGTTCATCCCCCAGATCTTATGTTATAAGACACAAAATTCTAAGCTTATCTCTGTTTGGCATCAATCTTCTTAATTTGCTAATTCTACTAGGCTATCATAAAATGATAATCTCATTTTTAACCAAATTTAAATTTTTTTCATTGCATGTATTCATAAGCACACTTTCACATAAGTATAAACTATTTGTTGTGCTCATTTCTCCTTCATCCCCCCATTCCCCAGTGTTCATATTGTAACTATCCTGTCTTCTATCTTTCATTTGCTTGCTCATTCACTTAAATAACACCTCTTGAACATTTACTTTAGTATAACACAGTGGAAGATTCTGGTAAAGCACTAAGGTTAAGACAATGCATTGGCCTGTCTTATCCTGAGAACAACAGCAGCAGAATTTCTTTTAGAATTCTCTTATACCTAATTTTTGCCAGACAGAAATTAGTATTCCTGTTTTAAAAAAAAATGTATGGACATGTAAATCTGCTTTCACCATGAACATAATTTCCCACCATTTAGTTTAAAGTTTACAACTGCTTAAAGAAATCGAAGCCTATACTAGATTTTATTTTTTAATTTCTTCATTGTCATGCAAGCCATTTCGCTTACTCATCCACCTGTCTGTCTAGTTCTCTCAAGGACCACTGCTAACGCCATCCTATTTTTCACTCCATATCCCACTACAGGAATGGCTTTCTGTTACACAGCACTCTTTCAAGTACGTTGGCAACCATACACACGCCTCTAAGCAAATCTTTGGAGAAAGTAATAAAAGGCAACTGAAACAGCGAACTTGAAGCCAACAGAGATAGCTAACAAAAAAAATTATCATAAATGCCCGTTGCCTTCCTGACGTATTCAGACTTCTAAGAAAATGTGGGTGTTTCTGGGATTGAGAAAGGACTAGCTTTCAGGCATGGCTTATCTTGGGTTTCGGTACACACATCCCAAATAGTGTTATATGTGATCTTCACTTAGCTCCCATGTCTAGAATTCCAGGCAAGGGAGGCCCAGAGAAAGAGCAACTCTTCTGTGGTCAACCACTGGCTTCCAACAAGGCTTTATGTGCACTGAGGTTCTGTCTCCATTTTGAAGTGTTTATTCTCAGTCAACTGGTGCCGTGAATGGAGAGTTGGTGAGTTGTTCAGTTAAATGTAATAAGAGATGTTTGTCTAAACCACAGGGTGGCTGTTGTATTGACCAGTGACATCACAGTGGACTCTTCTTTTATGAAAGCTGGCCTGGAGAGTAGAGCGGAGACAGAGGCAGGCCTGGAGTTCATCTCCACAGTGCAGTTCTCACAGTACCCATTCTTGGTCTGCATGCAGATGGACAGGGCTGAAGCGCCGTTCAGGTAAGACGAATGCACACCGAAGTTCCAGCATTCCTACCTCACCAAGAGCTTGCATTCAATCCTTGACATTCAGTGTGAGAGTTCAAAGGTGACAGTAGAAACCAGGTAAGCAGCAAGTTATCTTTAAAGAAGTAAGAGAATGATAGAGAAAAAAAAGAAAGAAAGAAAACTCAGTTTCTAAGATACCAAAGTCCATTCATTTGAGACAGAATTCAGTCATATTTAATTTAGAAATAACTTTTCAAGGAAACAAAGTTTACTCTAGGAGTGACCACATAGTTTCAGAAGTAAAAATAGCACATGTGCCTTTGCTGTCTGGTATCTTTGCAGTTGCTTCTTTGTCAGAATGCATCTGGCCAGCCATTTCCTATAGCCCAAGGGAACCTACAGCTATTTGTATGAGAGCAACTTGCTATACTTTTGGACCTTGAGAATTTGGCATCTTGGATTGAAACAACAAGAAGTGTTAGAAAGCTTAGGTCCTGAAAAGCTTATTATATACCGTTGTACATTTATCTTCACAGCCCCGCTTCCATTCTGGGCTTGACTCTCGTTAACCCCAGGTCCTTAACACGGCCTAGCTGCCGTTCTGTGGAGCAGAGCTTTCCTGTGGAGCTAGAATGATTTGAGTCTAGGTAACACCCAACTCCTCCCTAGTAGTTATAATGTTTTCCTTGGACAGTATCTAACCAGATGGTATAATCTGTACCGTTGAAACAGCAAGTTACAATTTATATCATCTTTTGTAATAACCAGGCCAAAGTTGAGTACCTTATTCTACTGGGATTTCATGATTCATCTTTTTAAAATGCATCAATAGTTTAAGTACAAACTGAGCATTAAGTTACATTCTCCTGGAACAAATGATGGTGGCTTATGCTCAGGACATTAAGTGTTCACTAATGTTAACGTATGCGTACGTCTGGAATAATTCCCTATAAATTTACTCATAATGCATATGCATGTATTTATGCAGTAACCACAAGCCCGGCCACATGGCCAGCTAGACTCGCTCATCATTTTACTTGGACCATAGGCTGGAAACATTTCTCTCTCAACATTCTGCTCTTAAACCCTGTTGGACTCAATGCTTTGACGGGACATGACCTCGAGGCCGGGCTTCTGGAATGAGTGGTGGGAGGCAGAAGGGCCTGTGAGGTTTACAGCCTCCCAGGAATTCAGCCCTCTGTTCCAGGACATGGTAGAACCCCCACATTCCAGCCAATCACAATGTACTTGCTGGTATCAGAAGAAACAGCAACAGGAACGCGCTACAGAATAGTACCTGCAACTCCTCTCCAGACAGAGCTTCCAGAGGGCAGCAGAGTGCCTGGGGCTGCCTGGGTGGCTTGGCTCTATGTAACTCTGTCCTTCCTCCTCTTGCTACACAGGCAATTTGAGACCAAATACGAAAGGCTGTCCACAGGTAGGGGCTTTGTCTCTCGGAGAAGAAAGGAGAGCCTCGTGGCCGGATGTGAACTCCCGCTCCATCAGGAGAACTCTGAGATGTGCAATATGGTATTCCCCCCACAGCCAGAGAGTGCTGACTCTGCTGGATGGTTTTGAAGCTGAGCTGACGCCTGGTGTTTCCCTTGGATCCGTTTCTGCCAGAGCGGGGTGCCTTGACGTGCTTAATCCTTGCTCTCTGAGAGCACAGTGTTTACATACTTGCCTGTATTTAAGAAGTTTGTAAAGAGCGATGGAGTACTGCAAGTTGATTAAATTTGAGCCTATTCAGGAGATGCCCCACAGTGTCACTCTGAGTCAGCACACCCAACATGCCTGCTTTTGGTACTTTGCAAAACTCCTAACCAGGACAGTGAGTCTGCGTTTGCTCTAAGAAGAAACTAGCATTTGAATAAAACAAAGACAAAACAAAACAAAACAGAACAAAACCCACACCTTAAAGGCTTAGGCAAATGCCAATTTGATTCAACAACTTTTAGCCAAAGTAAACCCTTGACAGAACTTCAAACTTGCTTCCTGTGAAGCACATTGCCTAAGCAGAGCAGGGGCGGAGGGAACCCAAGCAAGCTATTTTTCCTCCTTTTTTTTCTTTTTCTTTTCTTTCTTTACTTCCCCCCCCCCCCTGGTGTCTATGGGAAAGTCTATAGAAAGGGCAGAGACAAGACTTAAAGGAATTTTGTTAGTCAATGTCAAGAATTAATATTTATGTTTTCTGATAGTTTCATAACCGTGAAAGTAAGAGACAGAATTAAAACATACTGTGCCATGTCTCTCCCGGCCAGGCAGTGAGACCACTTGGAAAGCATTTACCCATTTAAAATGAAAATGGAATTATCATACAGGAATACAGATAACTGAGTTTCAGAGCATCCATTAGGTTTTTCTCAGGATGTGTCTTTCTTGATACTGTTATATGATACACAGTTCTTTGCAAGGGACATCCTTAGAGTTACCACTTTATCTATACCTCAATTGTCTGGACGCTCCATCCAGTACATTGACTGCAGTACACACAACATCCAACAGCGACTGGGATGATTGTTGCTTCAAGAAAATAATGGATTTGTATTTTAAAACTATGAAATTAAATAAAGACCATCTTTGTTTGTATGAATTAAAAGGCCACCCCAAACATTTAAACATAATTTATTAATAAAGCGGATGTGTTTATTACAATAACCCCTCCCCAATGTCAGGTGCTCATTTGTCCACTAAACAAAAGGAAGTTTAAAATGGAAGTGGAAAAAACATAAAATGGAAGTTTGGCTGCAGTAGAAAATAAATTGCGATGATGAAAAATAAACAAACATGTAATTTGCTGAGCTCCTTTTGTCATGTTACTTTGAATCTGTGCTTTTTGATCCAGCTATTTATTACCCTCGGGACGCGCTGAGCCAAACCTCTGCAGCAAGGCTAGCGCTCAGGGCCTCTCGATGGAAAGGGTCTCTGAAAAAGGCCTGAATTCTTTGGGAGCTGGCGGCTTACAAACAGCATACGACTAAATTTTCAACAAAGTGACATAGATGGGCACGCTTTTGTACTGAAGAGTGAGAAAAGGGATCAAAAGTTGAAGGTGGGTGGGGGCATGGTAGTAGCAGAAGCTGCTAACTGGGGATTTGGGGCACAAATGGAAATGACCTTCCAAGATCAGCGCAGGGAAGCATCAATTTTATTCGGGGTGAACAAGGCTTATATAGGTCTTTGGGGAGTGGGCAGGGCACTGAGATGCCTCATTAAGATGGAAAGGTATTCCAGGAGTCCCAACTACTTGCTGAATGGGTCTTAGGGGGCTGGGGGGATAATGTGATAATTTCTCTAGGACTGGTGACATTCTTCAGGAACAGAGAGTAGGGGTCCAGGATCCCCAGGCAGAGAAGAGGAAGGCTCGCCAACAAACGGAGTCCTCCATTTGCACTGAGCTCAGGGCTTTCTGGTGATGGCAGATTGTGACCTTCGCAGCAGGGTTTTCCAACATTGAAGGTCTCCTTTCCTTTTCCCTTCTTCTTTTGCCAGAAGTCCATTCCTCTTTGAAAAGTTTTTGGGCTTAGAAGTAAGTTTTAATTTACAATAACATTTGTACATTTTTTTAGACAAAACATCTACAGGATTAGAATTTATGCACATTATCTCTTATGTAGAAGTCAATATTTTAGTATAATCATGGTGCTGTATAGTCATCATAATCACTTTTAGAACATTTGCATCATTTCAAAAAGAAATCCATCCCCTTTACCTACTGCTTCCAATCTTTTCATTCTCTTAACCCTAGGAAATCAATAACCTGTTTGTTCTGAACACCTCATACTAATGGATTAAGATATATTACTTGTTATTTGATTCTTTTCACTCAGCATTGTGTTCTCGGCGTTTGTCTACATTGTAGCATAATCAGTGCTTCGTTCTTTTTATTTATGGCTGAATAACATTCCATCACAGATTTATCATTTATTTTCCTGTTCATCCATTGAAGGGCACATAACATGATCCTCCACTTTAAGGACCCTTAAAAGTGAGGAAAAAAATTCTGCAATGTGATAAACACTTTTCAGCAAAGTAGGAGAATACTCCATGAACATAATGAAATTAGCAGCTTTTCTATATACCAATAACAAGCTTCCTTAGGAAGAACCTAGGAATAAAATTTCATTCACAGTATATTTAAAAAAAAATTTCAAGGAATAAGCCCAGAAGTTAGCAAACCTCTATAATGAAAATTTCAAGATGTAAAAAGACACAGAAAAAGGTACTAGCAGATAAAAAGACCTCCAATGCTCATGGATTGGCAGAATTAATATTGTGAAGTGGTTGCCTCAAGGAAAGCAATCTACTATGTGCCTCCACCAAAATTCCAATGCCGTTCTTTACAGAAGCAAAAACAAACAGACAGCAGCAGCAACAACAACAGCCACCCCCCAAAACTCAAAACCTCATAAGGAATCACAGAAGACCTCGAATAGCAAATACAGTCCTGAGGAGAAAAGCAATGCTAGAGGCACAGAAGTCCCTGACCTCAGATCACACTACAGACCCTCTGCAACAAGAACAGCCAGGTACGGACCCAAAACAATAGAGAACCCAGAAATAAATCCACATCGCCACAGCCGCTGAAATTTTGACAAAGGTATCAGGCACAAAGATTAGAAAAAAAAAAAAAAAAAAAAAAAAAAGACAACTTGTTCAGCATCTGGCACAAGAAGTTACATCAATATCTTTCACTTTGCACACACACAAAATTTTTTTTCAAATATTAGAGAAAAGCTCAGACAAAGTATCTTAAGACAGAGGCATAGGCAAGGACTTTTTGTAGAGAGACTCTAATAGCATGGGACAAATAGAATTGCATAAAATTAAAGAGGCTCTGAACAGCAAAAGAAACAATCAGCAGAAAGGGGAAAAATCCGCCAGAATAGAAGACTATCTTTGTCAGCTACACAGCACACAAGACATTAATAGCTTTTGTATAAAGCTATTCTACGTATTATATATTTTGTATAAAATCTATAAAGGCATTTGTTGTGCTTTGAATGCACAGTGTCCCCGATAGGCTCATGTTTGAGCACATGGTTCCCGCTGGTGGTGCTGATTTGGAGAGGCGTGGAAGTTTTACGAAGCCTCCCTGGAGAAAGCAGGTCTCAGACATTAGGCCTTGAGAGCGTAATACAGCCCAGCCACACGCTGTCTACTGCTTCCTGACAGCAGACCTGGGGTGCCTCATGTTTCTGCTGTCATGCCAGTCCACAGTGACGGACTGTGTCCCCTCAAATCAGAAGTCAAAACAAACCTTCCTGACCTGATATTGGTCAGGGACTTGGTCATAGCAACAAGAATAGTAAACAATACAACCTGCAAAAATTAAGCACCCAACCCCCCCAAAATGGACTGTTAAACTAGCAGTTCTGAAAGGAAAAAAAACATAAAAAGTCATTCAATACTTGGAAAAGTAGTCAACATCTTTAGCCATCAGGAGAAATGCAGGTCAAAACTACATAAAGACTCTACCTCATTCCAGTCAAAATGGCTGACATCCAGAAAACAAACCGTAATTGCTGGCGATGATATGGAGAAAGAGCAACATTTATTATTCATTACTTGTCAGAATGTAAACTGGAAGGGTCTCTATGGAAATCACTACGATTGTTCCCCGAGAAGTGAAAGCTAGCATGTGATCCAGTGGGATACTCTTAGATATTTATTTAAAGGATACCACAGAGATACTGACATGGCCACATAGCCAAGATATGGAACTAGCTCAGTTTCCCATCAGCAGATTAATTCTTGCATATAATACATGTACACAGTGGACTTGTAGTCAGCTATATAGAAGAAGGCAACCCTGATATTTGCAGAAAAATACATAGAACTGGAGAGCATCAGGTTAAGTGACATAAACGAGACTCACAAAAACAAATACCACTTTTTCATTTACATGTGATGGCTAGATTTCAAACCGTCTAGAGTGTGTGTGTGTGTGTGTGTGTGTGTGTGTGTGTGTGTGTGTGACATGAAAGTAAAAAAGAGATAATCAAAGGAAAGAAACAGGTAAAAATCAAAGAAGGCAACAGAGAATAATAGAAAATATGTGGCATGAAAGCAGAGGTGAGGACTATTGGGGTGGAGAAACAGGACCAGCGAGGCAAGGGGGTGCAGGACAGGGGGAATAGGGCTGTGGCAAGGGGATACATAAGAAGAAAACACACACATACACACACTAAAATTTGACAAGGAAGTCCATGACTTCATGCGCCAATTTTTAAAACATTGAAAGCTAATAAATTATTTAAGCTCTAACACATTTAAAACCTTATAAATGGAAGTGTGAGTCATTTTTCACTACAGTGTGCTCCAGTAAACAACCCTTAATTAAGTCCAGCAGGTTAATTAAAACAAACAAAAAGCCAACCAAACAAACTAACCAACATGGAAGTAAGAGGGGGCCCAGCGGGAGTGGGATGGACATTATTGAGGGTAACGGGGGATGAATATGAGCAAAATACATCATATATTAATCACGTATGAAGCTGTCAAAGAATAAATATGTTTTAAAGTTCTGTTACTTCCATCTTCTTGGGCTATGTTGTCTCGCCTCAAGAAACCTTAAAGTAAACAGTACAGCTAGACCAATATCAGTGTGTTACAAATCCTAAGAGACTGTGGAGGGAGGAAGGAAAAAAATGTCCAAGAAGTGATTCTTGAACTAGGTCCCATGATTTCTCCAGCTCTACCCCAGCCACTACTCACCAAGAATGGGCCTCTGGATTTGGCTGTTTCCCAGCTTCCCTTGCTATCTGGGTCATCTGAGATCTCAGAGAGGTGTCAGCCCTCTATCTTCTCTCCAAGAGACCCAGCTGTACAGTTGCAGACCGTGTGTGATAAGATTCAAAACAACACAAAAATCGAGATCTCCTAAAATCTCTACCACTAGAAAGAGCCGCACTCATCATTTCTCTTCTGCCCTGGCGTCACAGGTGGGTTAGAATATCAGTGATTTTTCTCCTCTCCTGTCCTCCTCCCCTATTAATGAAGGTTTAATTTTTTTACAGTTGGCTTGGAGCATCACACAAACCTATAAAATATTTTCGCCCTTCTATTTTTACCAGAAAGATTCCTGCTCTCATCCTCTGGGATTACACATAAAAGTATGGACCGTCCCTTTCCAGCATAGACTTAAATGACCTGTTTGCTCGGTGGGTCAGTCGCACCGTGCTTTGGGAATCTGTCTCCATGGTTTTACCCGTGTTCCACTAGCTCTGCTTGAAAACCAGCTGTGTAAACACAGCCACAGAGTGTAAACACTCCACAGGTGGAGTGCTGAGAGAGAGTAAGGTGCTTCCAAGCAGAGGTGGTCTCACACTCTTTAAATAGGAAGTTGGGCATCCGAGGGGGTTGGGGGGAGAGCAATACAGAGCTCTGAGAGGGTAGGCAGTTTCCAGAAGCTAAAGGCTCCCTCTCCCTTTACTGCTCGGCACACAGGCAAATCCTGTGCACAGTTCTAGGTGCTTTGCAGATATCCAAGCGTTCCCTGCTCCTCACAGTTCTGGGTATGGAACTGTCACTTTGCACTCTTAGGTGTATAGAATGGAAGCTCCGCAAAGCCTAGTGAGCTTCAGCATTTCATTGCAGCCACATAGACATGGCTCTTCACGAACACCCCTTCTGCCCTCCAAGGCCTGCTTTTTCCAAACAAGTTATACATTTACTTGGCTGCTCCTTTAGTGTCGCTCTTGCTTTCCTTTGCCTTTCTGCCCAAATGGACCTTCCCAAGCTCAGCTCCTGTCCCATCCCCTGCATGCAGAAGCTATCAGGGACAAAGGCATCTCATTCC